GGGGGGGGGGGGGGGGGGGGAAAAAAAAAAAAAAACGGAATGAATTTGGCATCTTCAAAAAGTGAGATTCAGTTTTCTTAACAACCCGGGGGAGATAGAACTTCAAATTTGCTGGAGCGATTCTGTGTTGAGATGGGAAGAAGTCTGCCTAATTTCGTACCTGTAGATCCTATCAGAGAGGAATACGAGGAGGTTGGATTTTGTGACGGGAATGGGTTGAAGAAAGGGAATAGGCGCTACCGCGCCTATTGATGCCTGGAAGTAGACACCAGCCGTGGATCTTTACCTTCCTTTTCCTCAAAAAGGCTTCTCATCGGGAGTACGAGCTTGTTTATGGCCTGGCTCCATGAATCTGTCTTAGATATGTGGATAACAAATTATGAAGTGTCTGCGTTTATTGATTCCTATAATGAGACTAGGCGCAACATATGACGAGGTACTACACAATCCTGCGAGGGACGATTTCAGAGAAGGAGGAAAGGGAACTTTTGTGTACTGTGCGAAAAGCGAGATCCGTTTCCATCTAGTGGCTTGGCGAAAAACTGGCGGGTCCACATTGGGCCAATATCGTTCTCCAGCGTTTACGTTCCGCCAACCTTTCCCACCTTTACCCAACGTTGGGCAATCATAACATGTCATCTGGGACGTTTAGCAATATTCATGAGAAGCATCACCAGCCAATAGCCTTTCAGTTTTACAAAATGCACTTTAGGACTCAATAAACCATGGACGTCGAATGACGTTGGTGCGACGTCGATGCAACTTTTGCGACGATGCGGCCAGAATGCAACGTTCTGTGTTGCTTGAGTATGCCTGTCTTCGTCCTGCCGTCCAATCCCACGTAAAAGTTGCTCCCTCAATTGATTTCTCCACATCTTTCCCAGTTAAAAGCGAGAATTCTGCATTCTTAACCAGGGAGTCTCGAACTCTTTGGGCCCACGACTCCGATTCACGGAGTTCAACAACTCGTAACCCTTCAATTTTGAGGTCGCTGAAACTAGAAAGAAATTGCTCAGGTACCACAACTCTGGCGGGCCACAATTTACGAAACAGGAGGCTTTAGACCTCATATGTCACATTTGCTCCCAGAGTCCCTCTGAGAGGGCCGAGGGGCCCTAGGTCGCTAGTCCGACCATGGCGGTAGACCCTAAGTTAGCTCAACTATGCTGATGAATAGGAAGTCGTGTGACTAGTCTCTTTTCAGTGCTTTCCGATTGATTGCACCTTCCCCCCCCATTCCCCTTACCCCTTCTGAACGGCGCTACATGTCATCCAACATCCATCTGTCTGTCTCAATGTAACTACTCCCGGCTAAATCAGTGACTGAAGTGGGAATTAAGTCATTCCCGCTGCCACATAAGTCGGGGGGGGGGATGAAATCAATCGAAAATCACTGCACACGTCGCTCTGAGACAGTCAGACAGAATATCGGCTTCCCCGAAGAACTAGTAGCAGCCATTGAAGGAGGGTCATTGGACTAATTCGTGCTTGGTGGGAGAACGAAAAGCTTCCCTTATCCTCCGTCAGATGGTATGAGTGTCTCGATCCTCGGTCAGTTCAGTTCGGTTGCTGCGCTATGAAGTCAGCGAGGCGGTATCTTCATCGTGGTTCCAGAACCTCCTCACTTCCACTCCCCACTGCTTTCCTACGAATCAAGTTCAATTCGAGTTAGAATAAGCCTAATCGTTTTATAATCAGGCCAAGGCAGGATGCATGGACCTCGAAAAATTCGTATTCGACCAAATACACCCGAGGAGGCACCGCTCCAGCAGTACTGCCAGCCAGGTCCGAGTAAAGCTTGGAGCAAAGATCCAGTAATTCTCAGTCTCAAAGTAAGAAAAGTCGTTCGGAAAACGGAACCCAGGCCAAGCGTATTAGGCATGGCTGCACAGGTCCTTCCCAAGAGTTCTGCATTGGCTTTCCCTGTGACTGGAACTCGACCGCCTCCAGACCATGGATCACAGCCTGCTACACGTGGACTCATGGAAAGAAGCGGCAGGGAGTCCTTATATCCCGTCATGCGGGCGAAGGAAAACTTGGTATGATATATCAGTTAGAACGTACAGTGTAGGCTAGGCCTATTCATCGACATAATTTTAGATTCGACTCCTGTGATATCCTGCTGCTACCAATATTTGGCTTCAATCTTGTCCATTTTTTCCCTTTCCCCTGCCATCTAATCTTTAGCACCAACTAGAACCTTAGGAAATCTTAGCTCTGTTGGTAATAACACTCTCTGTAATCAAATTCACAAAGATCTTATAATTCGGATTCTATTTAACCCTAGAACTGCCAATCATTGATTAGATTGACATTGGTAGGCAGCTGTGCTGTTTCTGGCAGTTCCAGGGTTAAGTAACCTCTGAATGTGAGTGGACCATCTCCTTATATATATTTCTGAATAGTATCTCAAACCCAACTCTAAAATTTTCTTGTATGGCTTATCTGGGAAAATAAAAACATAACTGTGCCTGAGACACTTAGAAGCATTGTCATACCTAGCTAGGACAGTTGAGCAAATATTTCTTCCAGAACTGTAAGGTGCATAAGAAAAAAAATCATTTCACTCAATTTCTTTTTAATACTAGTATGGGACATGCTTTCTATTGCTAGCTCTATACATTGGTACATAAATGTCACGCTTTGGTTTTTCCACAGAACAATATTAACATTGTGAGATTGAAAAAACCAGAATCAAGATTGGCTGGTGCCTGATGAATCACATTTTATGAGTAGGGAAACAGGGCATTGAGGAGTAGTAATGAAGGAACAGAGAAAGGAAGGGTTTTGGCAGGGGACAAGTCTTGTTCTTTTTTTCGTATTCTTTATTTTTTGTTACAAAATTGAGTATTCCTTCATCTTGTGCACACTTGGCTTTTGCTGTGCACGTTGCTAGAGGCGATTTTAGAGTTCATAATTGTGAACAGATTGGTTGTGAGTGAGAGAAATTGGCAAAAAAGAGCATTTGAATAGGGGAGAGTGGGAAGGAGGTACTTGTGCTAATTTTCATATACAGTAAATAACTCATACCCTTGCTCTTTCTCTTAGTTTGTCTTCTACCATCCATAGGAGATTTTTTCTATCTTGGATGGGAATTCCTAGAAACCCTAGTGGTGATAGGAGAGGAAAATATATTTATTTTTATTTTGTAGGAAAAGGGGCAAAGAGATGTTTGAAGTCTCTGGCTTTTTCATGTGGAGAACAGGAAATCCTTCCTACCCTATTCTGTACATTAAACAGTATATAATTTATGATCAGTTGAGAGTTGCCAAGAGGGAAACATGTAGATGTATTTGAGAAGTATGCAAATATGTAGACATAGTTGCTGTGCAGTCCATGTAACTTTCCTTTATACTATACATGAGATCTTGCCAATTGTACTTGGTATCATATATCCATATATATGATTCAGGTGTAGTTCATGGATTGCATCATATATGATGCAATACACCTACATTTACAGGGTTTAACTAAAGTTAAGAATCATAGAATTAATTTCTGCCTTGTCTGTTTCTATGGAACTCACCTACTTACCTGACGGGATAATGTCACAAATTCTGGTCCATGTGACACAGAGTAACCCAAATTGACCACATTTTCATTTATTCTAACAGTTGGGTTAGCTGAAGTGCCTTAGTAAAGACAGAATCTTAGGTGGAGTCACTCTAGGATAATGAAGCAAAAGTTGAGTCTTTGGGTCACTTTGGGTCAATTTTGGTATACTAATGTCTGAATAATTAGGCTCAAATAGGATAAGTATGGGCCACTTGGACCAGATTTTATATTTAAGATAACCTTGCCATTACCGTGTTTTATTTGGTAGGCATGTGAATTCCAAACAGTTTAGGGTGGAAATAACCCTTACACTATAACCCTATGATTCTTAAATTTTGTTACACCCTGTGTAGTGAACATTAAAGTACAAAAGTTTGAAGCTTATTGGTACAAATAGCATGATATTGTTGTGTATTGAGGTCATCTCAGAAACAACTTCAATTTTTTTTTTTTAGCTCATTACATTGTACATGGACATTCAAACAACTTAGAAAATGTTCCTCAAAAGGTCCTTGACAGAGTTCTTTCAGTGGTTGATTGATATATGGCATTATCATATGCACTGATTTGCCAAGACTGTGGACTACCCTGAACAGATGGCCACAGAGGTGTTCTTTCTACTCAGAATCAGGAATCTGCCCTTTAGAGGGCTCAGATCAGGTGAGTATGGGGGTTGTTCTATGACCCTCCTTTGCCATGGAAGGTGCAAGCTCAGAGTGTGTGAAATGGCATGTTATGTTGCACCTGTATTGAGAATGATGGTGCCCTGAGCCTATAGTATCAGAATTGTTGGATGGCCAGTCCCAGTTTCTTGAATTGGAATTCATGGTCAATGCTGTGTGGAATCAGGAATTTCTGTCCAAGACACTGTATCTGACCATCTGACAATGCAGTCTATAACTGCAGGCTCAGGGCACAGTCATTTTTAATAAAAGTGTAACACAACACACCATTTCATAAATTGTGAGTAAGATGTTTTGCAGGATAGGACTGGAAGATTATTGAACATCTCCCATACTCACACCTGATCTGACCCCTTATAACTTTGACTTGATCCCAAGCTCAAAGAATTCTTTCATAGCTGTTAGTTCTGAGGAAATGACCTTAGTGTGACAGTGAACAGGATGGTGGAATACATCAACTGCCCATACGGAAAAATCGTACATGATTTTATAAGAAATGGGCATATATGATATATGGGACATATATGGTCTATCATATATGATATTATATGAACATATGTGGGAAAATATATCTGATCATATATTGCTATTGAAACAATGAGTATATGATCATATATGGCAAGGCCATATAAGAATTTTATAAAAAGCATGTATGTAAAAGATATGGTGGAGCAGATAAGAAACTTTTCTTATTTAATATATTTATCTATATATCTAGTATATGGTGAGGCATATATGTCACACCTGATAAGATACATGACCAAATCAGGTATGAAACATACATGAAATCATGACACTCTTGCATGTCTCGCCAAAATGTCAAAAATGACTTCTGGAACTAAGTTGAGAATTGGTGCTTCATTTGTTACTTCTGTGAAAATTCAAAAACCATTCACTAATTTACTGAAAATGAAAAATGTTGGAATAAGTGAACAAAGATCTCCATATCAATTTCAAGTTGTACCATCAATCAGGATCTGTCAATTAGTACTTCCAATCAGGGAAGAGGAAAATGAGAGTAAAATCACAGCAGTTTCTTCACATACCTGCCACTCAGAATTGGTTTAATGTGTACTTCATAATGGGAATCATGAGAGTGGCCTGATTGTGTAGAATTTTAAAGCCTCATAGTGTGCCCTACTTGTTTTCAAGTCCTACAGTTCCATAAGCGTATAGTGTATTAACATATACAGCCTTTCAAAACATGGTATAAGTAATTAAGTAATGTATGGCTTACTTCATTAGGAATTGCATGAAAGCCATTATGCAGCATTACAACCACCATTAAAAAGAGCCACAAAACCTTTCCAGCATGAAGCATGCAGTACTTGTAAATGTTATATGGAAAGGCCACAAAGTTTTTCATACCATATGGTCATACCATCTAAAGTATATATCCCATATGCATATGGTGCAATATACATTTCCAGCAACACATATTTTTTAAATGAAAGCATGCATGCTGAGTGTGTATTCACAATATGCGAAAGTTCTTCATAAAAACCATATACTTAAACTAGGTGTATCATATATGCAGGAGTCCATCCCTCAAATTGTATAATTATTTTATACAGAACATATATGCTACCCTGGTATGTTTAATATATGAATAATCCTTACATGAATCATATGCTCCAACTATATATGCCTGCATATTTCAATACATGATAAATATATAAAATTATAAGGCACAGATAATTACACATAACTACCATATATGATCTTTCCATATGGGTGGTTGTGAGTGCTGATAGCATAATGGTGTTTCCTTGCTAGAGGAACTCTGCTATGAAACTCTTGAGGACTAACTTGAAGGTTGCATATATGTATGCCCATATTGGTGCAATAAAAATGTGCTGCAATGACATCAAACTAGACTCTTGCATTTAAAATGGAATGTAACCTCTGCAAAATTGTTTATAAAGATGGGGAAGTTTCTTCTTGACAGTCCTGATGGCAAAACTTGGTTGTCATGCAGGAGGAACTCTGTCATGGAGCTTTTTGAGGGACTGCAGTGAAGGTTGTACATGGGTATGTGTTCATATACAGGGTGGGTGAATATATTCCCATTCTTACCTAATGGCTCCAACTTGTCCATGTGGGCTCCCTCATGGTCCAGACAGAGCTGGATGCATCGCCAGGTCCTCCAGGACATCTTGCACAGCAACAGGGGTGTGACACCGCTGAAGGTGTCAACCACAGCAGCTCATAATGCACCAATGGTCTCATACTGATGTGCAGAAACTTTGTCCTTAATGAAGACCCATAAGGTGTTGCTGAGTGTGGTGAGGTTGGGACTCCATGGTGGCCAAGGCAGAGGTACTGGGGATGTTGGAGAACCACAACCAATCCATTGGTTTGGGAAGACCTCATTCAGATAGTCATGCACAGTCCACCCCACATGTCATGTGTCACTCCTCAGATGCTGCGCAAGATATACTGGAGGACCTGGCACCGCATCCAGCTCTATCTGGACCACAATGGAGCCCACATGGACTAGTTGGAGCCATTAGGTAAGTATGGGGTACGTTGACTTTTTGCCCACCCTGTACATTGCAATAGGTGCAAGAAAAATTAATTACTGAAATTATCATCATATATATGACATGTTATGATCATTGGCAAGCCTAGGGCTTGTCTGTAGATGTACACTTTTTTTTTATCATGTAGTGATGAGGAGTGTAATTAGCCTTTTATGCTTGAAGTCATACATGGATATAGTAGGCATGATATCCTGTACAGTCACATGTGATGGTATATTGAAAAGCCAAATGGATTGTATGGGGAATGTAGGCCCATAGAGAACCGCACAGCCTGGATATATGAAAGTTTCACATGAGTTAGGTTTTGAACTGCCTGTATTGAATATGGGTGGCCAGCAGTGAGATGATGGAACTCCATCATGGAGATTGAACAGGTTTCCTTGACAGGCTTCCTGTACATCTGAGATGAGGCTGTCCACATGGCAACCATGCCTGCAGCAAGGAGCTAAATGTCACAGAGGGGGATGTGAACTTGGATACATTCTGTGGACATGTCATAACCTCCAAAGACATTGTTGTTTGACCAATTAAAGTTAGGGGTGCTGTCCAATATGAGTCTTAATGTCTTCCTCATATAAACTGCATTAAGAGATGTAGCAAATAAAGAAATTTAGTGAAAGGAAGGCCAAATTCCATACCTGGGCAGTCGGCCAATTTAATATTCTCTGTTGGCCAGGCATGTGAGTACCAGGAAAACCTATGTGAGGAAGGATGGATACTGTGCTTCCATCTACCCTGAATTACTAGAGCAATTGAGGCTTTCCAGTATTCTACTACAATAGATTTTCATCCCACCACTATTGAAGCAGTCTTATCAGTGAGAAAAATCTGAAAATATCTCCATGTTATTGTTTTTCTTAAAATAGGCTATAACCTAGTCCTGTAGTTCCCAACCTATTGCTTGTGACCTATTCCAGGGTCAGTTTTTGTCTGGTTGCATAGGGCCCAGGAGAAGGAAGGAAGTGTTTAGTGTTGTATTTGCTGTTATTCCATCTGTATTATTTTTTAATGGACCAACTAGTTATTTATGGGTAACTGCTTGAATAAGCTAATTTGGGTTGCCCTATCAAAAGGGTTGAGCTCTGCAGGCCTAGTGGGTTAGGAAAAACTTAGTCTAGATAATTCTATTCATGAATAGCAACTCTTGAAGGGTTATTTGATTTGCTTAATTGCAGCCGCCAGCAGGAATTATGGAGTCAGAATTACTCCCTGCAACCAGCCAAAAGCCCCTGAAGCAAAGCAGAGATACAGCTTTGAAAAACCCACAGAACTGTATGCCTATGCATGTTGCCAGTGTCAAGGTAAGGGCCAATTAATAATAATTTGTCAGAATGAAGAAATGATGTAGATCAGCAAGTCTTTGCCCCTAAATTAAGAATTAAATTATGAATAATGTTTAAAAACTTGAAAATTAGCATTATTTGGATGTGAGAATATTTAACTTTTTTTAATGGTTACTGAACCCATGACTTCAGCATAATTTAATTGCTTTATTTTCCCAAATGACTATTAATCTTTTAAGGAGGACAACTTGCATGTGCCCTTCCATGCCCACCTTGTTCCTCTGAGTCAAAGAAATTCCACCACTATTGTATTGATGCACTTTGCCATTTTGCCATTGTCAGCATGGAACTAATATTGTTGGGGCCTGTAGTGACCAGGAAGAAGAGTAAAAAAACAAAGTTCCCATTTCCATCTATTGGGAAAATAAGATTGGATGCATCTGGGTGGTTTGGTTGAGTTTGCTGCAAGATAGGCTCTTGTGTGTCAAGGTGCTCCTATAACTTGATTTTTAATGCAATAGAACTGCAACAAAAAACCAAGCATATCTCCAATAATTTATTGATGACAGAAACTCTAGAATCCAAAAAAGAGTGATGCATTTGCAAACTCCTCCTCCACCATTTTGGAAATTGGCTGTCAAATGTAACTGTCATTTGTCCATCCAATGTCAGAAAGTCATTGGATGATAGCATCCCTCTTTCAGGTTAACTTTGCTAATGAATTCCCCACAGAGTCAGGGAGGTAATAATAAAACAACATCTAGATTGACACCTAAGATGGGAAGTCCTGTGGTTACCTTGCATCCAACTTTAGTTTTCTTCCAACAAAAATGAAACTTGACTCCCTATTCTCCCAAATGAAACATCCTGTAGAGCTCGAGGGAAACCACAAAACTGCCATGAACAGAAGTGGGAAGAGGAGTGCCTGGTTGATTTTTCTTTATATTGTCAACATTAAGTAAAAATTTCCATTTATGTGACCACACAGGAAATTTGAGTGCTCCTTGCTGCACATTCCTTTCCTTTCTGGTCCCTAGCTGTAAGCATTTCAAAGTAGGAAAGCTTTTTCTTTTGGATCTTAACTCACCAATCACTATACAAACTCCTTTAGGGAGCGTAATAGACTTCATGAATTTTCTCAAACTTGGATGTGGACACACTTGAGCACATATAGCCTGTTTTACCTTTATTTTCATAAGTTGCTGTGAATTTGTCAATTTGCTTATTTTATCTATTTTTAGAATAGAAGTAGAGGGGTGCCCTTGGCAAGATCTTTATTCAAAGGCCCATTGGGAGAAACCCCAGTTCCTCTATCTGCTGTAAGTCCTTGGTATAGTGATGTACAAATGCATTATATCTGTAATGAATGAAATTCTCATTGTGAAACTAGAACAAAAAGAAAGGTGTGTGCCAGGAGAAGTCACCTTTGAAGAAGTCAACAAACTTAGAGTCCAGGATACCAGTTGTATGCTCTAAGGCACCTGTGCATCATGAAGAGAAGAATGGCAAGCCATTCCATTCCATCCCATTACATGGTGAAGACACAAAGGAATTCTTGCAGAATGAGGCTTTCACCAAGAATAGAATGGATAATGATTTGTCCATGTTGAGAAAAAGCATATCCAGAAGAATGTCCCTGGCCCAAAACAAAGTTTCCAAATCTCCAACCAGCATATCCATGCATCTTAGACATCAAAGTATGTGTTCTGGAGAGGATGAAGTGGTGATCAAAGCACATGAAGCTGATGATGTCTCCAGTGAAAAAAACTGGAATTCCTCCAATGTTGCAGGAGAACTCAAATGTCAATCTTCACCTATTGAGAAACCCAATCCAGCAGCTCCTTTGGATATGAAAAAGGGTCATTCCAAATGCCCTTCATCAGATGTAAGAAGAGGAGTGAACTTGTCCCCTCTGGATGCCATCCTGGCTCGTCTCACTGGTAGCGTTGAGAAGGCTGTCATCATTGACACCATAAACCAAGATGATCTTGGAAATGGGAAGATTATCATATGCTTTGCCCAGAAAAATGAAAATTCTTCCTCTTTGCTGCGTGATGCTGCCACTCAAACAGAAGTATCTCAAGGTGTCAAAGGCTCTCCCTGGATTAGTGCAAACCAGGTACTACCTAGTTCAAGCTCCTTTGCATTTTCTTTATGCATGGTGTTAAAAAAAAAAACCACCAGATAATTTTTATATTGATAGAAAATTTTACTCATTCAGCCCAATTTTTAAACTCCATATATGAATAGATATATGAAGGCTTGTGCCAAATCTTAAGGATATTGACTTGTTGCACTGGTTAAAAAATGAAGGATAAAGAATGCACCACATATCCCTGCTGATGCATCTGCCAATGCAGTGAACTATTAAAAAGGAGGTAAAGCACTGTTTTAGACAAAGTGGATAATAATCCACAGAGCCTCCCAACACAGAGGGAGATATCTCAAGACATTGGTATGTCCCTTTTAATAGTCCACCAAATCATTAAGAATTATCTGTCAAAAATGCTTTTATAAAAATGCAGTTACTGCAAGAAGTCACTGGAGTCTCTTTGCACTTGGAGTGAAGTTTCATCAATGGAGCAATTCTGGAATGGCAACAGTAGCTGCATGCTTGCATCTGAGAATGCAAGAGCTATTTTAAACATGGTAAAACATGGATTTCTTTCAAATTTAGCAAAAACTTTCCATTTCCACATCTGTTTGGCCAATCCAATAAAATATACTTTCACTATTATAAATAACAATTTGGCACATTTTTTAAAAACACCTTGTAGTTTCATTGAATACTCTTATTTTCAATTACAACTAAAGTAAGACAATCAAATTTATTGAATTTATTATCATGCAGGGGTTGTTACAGACAATCTAACTTTCATCACAAGAGAAATTTTGAAATTAGAGTTAAATTAATTTATCACTGAGGATATAGAAATGCTAGCTTGGCCATTTTCGGCTACTTGACAATCTTGACTTCAGTACTTGACAATCTAAGAAAATGACCATTGGATTTGAAGTACTCATTTTAGATGCACATGCATACCAATATGGTTGAATTCCTTGGGTCATGGGTATATTTCATTATGGCTTTAAGTTACTTCTGTTGGTGTGATGCCATTTCTGGCCTGATGTTAGCTACATTAAATAAACTGATTCTAATTTTCCAATAAAAAATGCCCCCTTGAAATATTTCCTTCATCCAGTGCCTTTTAGAGCACAACTGTAAGAATAGTTTTTCATGAGTGAAGAATTGTAAAGTTACCAATTCCCTCACCTCAAGAAAGGACCTCAAGTATGCCAGAACCAAAATCTCAGGATTTTTCTTGAACTCAATATTCAGGAAACATTTACCAATTTGAAATTTGATATATTTTCCCATTTTACTGCATCAAAAAAACATTGGACAAACAGACCAGAAAAACATACCTCTAGGTGTTGTACCCCAAAAGTACAATGTTTCCTGAAATGATTGGCCCATCAGATACTTCTGTACCATGTTTCAGTTTTCTATAGCTGCCCAATTCACTGGAGTGAAAACATTTATTGGACACATCCCCGCATAAAATTTGCACCCTAAGGGATAGACCTCAAAAGTAGGACTTTCAATGAAAGTATCTTCCTGTTTCACTCACACAAAAATAATTTTTAGAAAAAATCTCCCCAAAAAATGTATGCCACCAGACTAAACCATACCTTCAGTCACTCATGATTGCCTATGTAAAACATACTTTCATTCAGATTTGGAAAATAACCAATTTCTCTATCGATTAGAAATATGACTGAAGAAGCAGCAGCAATCATGCATTGCAGCTTGTCTTTCTTCACTGCAAAATCAGGGGTCTGTTCTTTACTCATGCTGAACTTAATCTAAACTTATTTTTTTCTAAAAGCAAGAAGCCTGTCCTTCACATAGACTCTTGCTAAAGCTTTGTCTGAAAGGTGGAATATTTTTTGACCTGGTCCAACCCAGTCTAAATGCTGTCTAAATTTTGGGATGATGGGGAAGACCTCTCATTGTTTGATTCTGCATGTGAGTCCAAAATCATGGCACACATCATCATCATCAATCCTCAGATTGGTTTGTCACAGCTCTCCATTCCTCTCTCCGCTCTGCCATTCTTTCCATTTCTCTGTAGTTGTTGCAACCCACATCTTGTATGATCTGTTGTGTATACCCTAGTCTAGGTCTTCCTCTGTAATTCTTTCCCTCTATCATCCCCTCAGTCTTCAGCATCCCTTCATGTCTTGACGTGTGTGGCAACAGTTGGTCTCTTCTTTGTACTATACTTTTCCATATCCTTCTCTTTTCATGTGGTCTTCAGAGTACCTCCTCATTTGTTATTCTGTCCACCCAGGGAATCTTCAGCATCCTTCTGTAGCACCAAATTTCCATCGCCTCCAATCTCCTCTTCTCCATAGTCACTATTGTCTATGATTCACATCTGTACAGTGCCACACTCCATACATAGGTCCTCAAGAATTTCTTTCTAACTTCCAGGTTGACAGAATTTGGTGTCAGAAGTTGCCTCTTTTGGTAAAAAAACAAAAGAAGCCTTCTTTGCCTGTGCTATTCTGCTTGCTATTTCCTTTATACTTCATCCATCCTTAGTTATCTTAATTCCCAAGTAGCAAAATTCATTAAAGAATAGATAAGAAAGGAATACTAAACACAGCAGAAAAAGTGATAGGAAGGAAAAGAAAAAGTAGTAGAAAGCCATGGATTACAGAGGAGATAATAGAGATGATAAAGGAAAGGAGACAGTACAAAAACTCAAAAAAGGAAGAAGACAAGAAGTGATACAAAACTATGAGAAATGAAATTAATCAGAAAGTGAAGAGTGCAAGAGAAAACTGGATGGAGGAGAAATGCAAGGAAGCAGAAAATAACTTGAGAACCGGGAAAGTACTAAGGGATTTGAAGGCAAAATAAGGCTGCAGGAATAGATGATATCCCTGTGGAGCTAACCATGACACACAATTGACATAAATACTTGTGTTGTGTGAGCTATGATATAGGTCATAAATGGTTTTCACTTCGTAAGAAGTCTCAAAAAGGGGCATGAAACCCCTGAACTTCGGTTGTGCCACAGTTAATCAATCTCCACTCCCCCCATTCTGATAGGTAATTTCAGTTTTATCCCCACATTCCCCACATGCATTATTTCAGCCCTGAGGTGAGGAGCAACAGACTTCCTTGGTTGCATTTTAAAATTTTTTCAGATTAAGTACAGGTTAAGTTTAGATTCAGATTGAGTTTAACACTAAACTTAATCTAAATCTGAACTTAATCAATCTAAAAGCAGTCATTCAGCTCTGAGGTTAGGGACAATAGACTCCCTTTGCTGCTTTTTGCAATGCATTCAGGTAAGGTTTAGATTGAGTGTAAATTTACATTTAGATTAAGTTTAGCAGAGGTGAGGAACAGCCTCCCATGCTGTGGTGGATTTCAATGGTGCCCGAAATTTTCAAGTTTTGTTGCGATGACAACACAAATATTAATCACTTACCTTGCTACTTCTATCAGTCTCTATTATCATTGGTGAATGTTATGTGATTGCTGTGTTGTTTATAATGGATTTGCTAGTAGATATGCATGTTATTGCTTGACAGGATTTCAAGTATAAATGCATTTTGGTCTGTGGTACAATAATGAGGACAGTAATTTTATTTCCATCTATAAAATTATTTGGCAAATGTTACCATAGATTGTTGAGATGCTTTCACTTGTGTTCATGAAAGAAAAACTTCTGAATTTTTGCACAGATGCATGAGAATGGAATGCAAATGTTATTCAGAAAAAATTATAATGTAGCCTTACTGATGCCTAGCCCCTTGCAAAAAAAAATAAATAAATAATCCTTATTTCTTATTGTGCTCAGCTAGAGAAAGACATGAAAGAAAGAGGCCCAATTATCAGAACCATTTTACATATGTTGGCAATCACCCTGCATTTAAAGCCATTAATAACCATGAATATGAAGAAAGAAGGAAACACTAGAGGCTAGCAGTAAAAGCTTTCCAGGTTGATCACATTCCTGTGTCCCAGGCATAAATGAATCATGGTGTTGAAATAACTATTCGTTCTGTTCATCTGAAATTGAAAAAGTCATACTTTGGATCAATAATAGGGGATGTGATCTGTCCTTAAGGAACCTCTAATTGCCTGTATGCAAATCTTCAGTGGAGTTCTGTCCTGTAGCATTTGAGTGACACATATCGTTTGAATTTCCAATGCCCAGTATTGGATGAATAGAGGATGATTTTGAGCTCTGTGCAGAATGGCGATCAGCTTGATAGGACTGACTTGACTCGTGGATTGGGCATAGAGCTTGGTTGGCAATCAGGATTTCGTTTGGGTGCAGGTGAATGCATCATCAAGTGACACCAAGCTCTGCTGAGAGACCTCAGCAGGCTATAGTCTGGCCTGACACAATCCATGGGTCAGGCTGGACCGGACGTATTCTGCATGTAACTGTACCATTCTGATTCCTATTTATCTGCAAAACTCCTGGAATGAAGGAATGAAAGGAAGTAAGAGTGTAGTAAAACTCAATGCATGAAGCTGTTTTCTCTTTCAAGTTGGCCCATATCTTATGTCAAAGGGTTATGACAATATTAAATAACCAACTTTAGCCATTCATTGGTGAGTTTTGAGATACAAAAGAAAGTTCAGGCCAAGAATTTCTCAGGAATACCTGTGGAGGGTTGATCAGCCATCACAAGTGGGGAGATAAGCAAGCCCTTAGCTGGAGGTAGCCCAGTAATACCTTTACATCTATGTCTTAAATGGTGGAGGAATTCTTTTTCTCGGGTCTGCAAGACCTTTCTTTAGATATTTCTTTAAATAAATGCTGTTGTATTATATAAATTGGTGTTCCCATTTTATAGGGAAAAGCTAGTTTCATTTGCTCTGTCTAAAGGAATAAACAATTTTCTGATTATTAAACAATCAGTTCAATTCCTGCAACAGCAAAGAGATAGATATTTTTTCATGCACTAAACTTATCATTTTGCCATTGAGTCCCTCAGGATTTCTGATAGCTTCAGAATCTTTTGCAGTCCTATGCAATGTGAATTTTCTATAAAATGTGCTACATTTATTTCATTCTTGAGAAGAGTTTTTCTAACAATTCTCAATTTTTTTTTTCAATTGAATAGAAGTTGGACATATCTACTGTGTCAGACAAAAGCAAAAGTTAAGGCCTGACTGGTAGATATGGAAATATACTGTTGGGCTGGTGAAAATGAATATGCAGTAAATAAACGCAAGGGTAAGGATGAGCTGGCTCATTAGAATACAAGGTACTCATCATTTTCTGATGACCATTGTCATGTTCTCTGAAAGGTCAATGGACAATTCATGCTGCATCCTATCTCCTTCCTCTTCCAGATGACAGGAGGTATGAAGTCAAGTAGGAAGAGCCTTCAGAACTTCAAAGCCCTGAAAGAATCCTTCCCCATTCTCCAGACTCCAAGGCGAGGTTGCAGTGACCCAGATATCTTGAATCCCTTGGGTCTGCGTGAGGCCATCCTGCAGAGCTTGGATGATCTGTATGATGAAGATTCAGGCTCCCCTGGGCATCCATTGTCTGTCAGTCTCCCTTCTCTCCAATCCTCCTCTTCCCCTATCACCTATACCTAGACCTATCCCTTCTTTTACTTGTGTCAACTGCTTCTCATTTTTTTACATGCTGCTTTACCTTGAGATTCTGATTCACACTCTTTTATACATTGAGTCATGTTGCATGCTTTCTACTATTGAGACTGTATAGAATAAAGATTTTGTGGTATATAATTTGCAAACTTTGCTAGTGTTCTCAATTCAGACAGTTTGCTCTCTGAGAACTACCTTCTTGTATACTAGTGAAGGTACATCTTCATGTTCATATGCTCTTAAATTAGATGGAGGAGGTTAGACTCCCAAGTTGCATGAATTTGTCTTCTGCAGCAATAAGGTTTTTATTATATATTTTATTATAAGGTTATTATTATAGTATAGCCATTAGTGATTGCATTTCTGACCCTTTAGAGCAGGGCTTGGGAACCTATGGCTCATGAGCCATATTTGGCTCACAAGCCTTGAAAAGTTTAGCTCATTGAGTCATGGTTGAAAATAATGGTTGTTCCTCATGTATCAAAGAATGCACACCTGTTTGTCAACTTCAGGAAAAATTATGATGTTCTGAAAATCTTTTGCTCACAAGCACTTAGCTCAATCTTAATATGGTTCACTCAGCCAAAAAGGTTCCCGACCCCTGCTTTAGAGCATTGGTTTATTAACTGTGGATATAGAGAGTCATTAAAGTAGCAAATATTGATGTAGGTAAAGGAAAACAAGGGACAAGTCAATGACCATTGAACATTAAAAAGTGCTCATAAGGTGTCCCTCTGCTTTTTAAAGGCAATGGTGGGATGTGATGAAATGACCTGTTTTGAAAAGGAAGGGGATGGGGCACATCATTTACAATATGCATAATTGGCTACTTGTTAACCTGTCATGGAATCCTATTTGATAGATATTGGAGCATAGATTCATTCTTACATCTTTTTCTAGTGGCACAGCAATGAGACTACCTTAAGTAATCAAAGGCAGTGAATGGCACAATTCAGAAGAGCTTTACCTGCAATTACATTGAATGTTAAAGTACTTCCTTTTCCTCTGTACAATTGTGTGGCTCAGATGATTGTAGAATTAGACTTTCATAGCTCTTTGCTACTTGCTTCCTATTCTGATGAAGCAGACTTATCAGTAATTAAGTATTAAGCTCTAGTATTATTTTTTAAGGCTTTCTTATACCTGTCGTCTCATACATTTAGTACATCCTGGAAAGTTTAGGATGTATACAGTATGTCATAGAATGTTCAAGATATGAGGACTCATCAAAAGGCTGCTAGTTTAGTTAAAATAAGTCAAATTCACTGTAGATATCTCCCATGTGCCCTTATCTCCAACCTCAGATCTTTTCTTTCAATGTTATAAACTTGATTTTTACAGAAGAGAAGTAATGGTTTTTGCACTGTACATCAGAAAAACTGCCATTGAGGAAAGTTAAAATTTTGAGATCATAATTTTTATTTATTCCATTATATTCTCATTAATGATATCTGATTGCATGTCTGGGTGCCACTACCCTGGTTGGAAATCTGAGTCCATGTATCAGCTTTAAAGAAGTTATCCCTGTTTATCTCACCCATGTAACTGCATGACTTTTCATAAAGAGTTACATTTACCCCATGGAGATGTCTCTTATGTTGGGGTCCTTAAAGCAAAAAATTTCCCTCCCTTTTTACCATTACTCTCCAATTGATCAAGAATTTAAGACTGGAGACACCTTAGAAGATAAGGGGTTGTCCTGTATGGTAGAAAATGAGTCCATTTCAGAAAGAAAGACACTCAGATAATTTGATTTTGCTGAGATGTTAATGCAAATAGTATCTGGGACTTCTCACTTGTCCCAAGAGGACATTGCTGGGAAATCTTTGGGATATACAGTACTTGTGCTGTGTGAGTACTAACAGTCCTGGAATATTCAACCCTGTATGTGACATGAAAGCTCTTCAGATAGAAAACCAAGTAGTGCCCATGGAATTAGAGGCTGCATCCTGTGTCATTACATTTTTTTTTTGTTCCTCCTTCCCTTGAAATAGTTTATACACATGCATGTCTACATTTTCACCCTCTCAGTTGGTGTGGATCTGAATGACAAAGCCCAATCGGTACCTAATTATTTAAGTATACAGAACAGTCATGGGCTCATGAAGATCACTATGAGTATTGATTAGCACACTCACAGGTCTCCCTCTAAAACTACAGCACTGCTTTCCTTGCTTTTGGAGGTGCAAAGATGTCAATCATATGGTCAAATTCCACTTACTTTGTTACTTAATTTTTAATGGAGAGCATTGCAGTGGCATTCAAGTTCACCCAATAAACAATTGGTAGGTCTTCAATGCTTAATTTCATGCATTGTTTCCTTGCTTTTGCACCAAAACAATCCACCTGACCAGATATGCAGCAGTCAAAAAGCGAAGAGATGTGAGTTTATTTGCAAGCAATTCAGCTTTGGGGACTGCCTCTGGACAACTTGAGTCGCTGGATATCTATTGCCCCGAGGACTCCTCCAATTAGTTGCTCTAGCCTCTAAGGTAATATCAACTCTTGACAACCACCTTATTTCAGTCTGATTCCAGTTACAGAACAGTATAAACATAAGGCCTCCCTCTTATAGTATCCTTTTTCGCTGACTTGGATCTAATCACCTCTCATATCTGCTTAATGAGAGACACATCTGGAGTAGTGTCAAACATAATGGAGAAATACTTCGATTTCCTGATCCTGGAAGCAATTCTTCACAGCTTTCCCAAAGAGATTCACAAACTCATTCTGGACAGGAAGAGATAAGTATTCCATGGGAGCTTTCTTGCCTTTTCTATTTTGCTTATCCTTCAAAAGGGGGTCTTAACAGCCTTATAAAACCATAACCAAGATAATTTCCATATCCTTGTCACTCCAGACTATTGGTGGAAGCATGCAAAGGTAAGGGCGTTCAATCAAGATGTAAGAAACAACTATGCATCTAGCATAGCATTGTACAAGGTGGCCCATTTAAGTATGTACATCTTTGTTTGGCTATAGCTTGTGTACATTTTTACCAATTTCAATAATATTTTAATGAAAGTAGGTCCCTTGCACTTATGTCCTGGTAGTTCTGGAGTGAGGTTTCATGTTTTAGTCGTTTAAAAGGTAGATTTCATAAAGTGTTGCCATACAAAGACACCAACCTATAAATATTCTTATTTATTGTGAGAAGTTTCATCACTCCTTCTTTACCCAGTGGAGGTGAGACACAAGATCTTTCCTCTGCCAAAATATAGTGCCTATTCATGGTAACACTTTGCTGTCAGAAATCTATTGCAACCAATGAAGGAAGACATCACTCAATACAGTAAAACCTCGATTATCCGGGCTAATGACCGGGAGACCTTCGCCGGATAATCGAAAACCACGGATAATCCAGAATTCGAAAAAAAAACCATGTAATGCTATGGTATATTAACTAAAATGCGATTTATTCATAAAATACTAATCCTACCTTTGCTGGTATTGCTTTAATAGTCTGTTTTGTTGAAAAAAATCGGTCAGAAGACGCTGTTTCACGTTCCTACACCGCTTCAACTTTATCGACGTGCGTATCTTGCGTAGCATTAAAATATCACTGAAATTCGAGTCACTTTCTCGTTCTAGAAACTCCAATAATGTTTCTGCGCACGTGAGAGCTTCTGCCAGTGAAACACTTTTATCTGGCATCTTTTCTGCCGAAGGACCATCGTCGGAGTCGGAGTCGCTGCTTTCCTCCATCACGACTTTCGATGACGATGCTTCTGCGGCGATGGTGACGTCGTCTTTCACTTCGTATCCAGGCTGATCTGTATCTAACGAAAGCCATTGGTCAATGTCGTCTCGATCGACATCTTCGAAACCGTGAATGTCTTGAACATGCTGGAAGATTGCGTCGGCAGTTATAGCCTCCTCTGGTGCAGTCGAGTCGTCGTTATCGTCATTTGTCATCACGTCTTGATACAACTTTCTCCAAGACCGTTGAAATGTCAGACTTGGAATATCATTCCAACTGTCGGAGCAATTGAAAATCGCGTCTTTGAGTGTCCACTTTTTATAAAATTCCCTTAGATCCACATCTTCTTCCAGAACTGAACGAAGCAATGCTTTCCTATAACGCCGCTTCAATGACTCCAAAACACCCTGGTCCATTGGCTGCAGAAGAGATGTTACATGCGGAGAAAGATAGGTCACGAAAATCTGCCCATCACTTGTCTTCCGGACGTTTTCGTTGTGATGGGAAGGGGCATTGTCCAACAGTAACATTGCTTTCTGGGGCAAATTCTTGGACTTCAAGTGTTCACGGACAGAAGGAACAAAGTGGTTAAAGAACCAGTCTTTGAAAATCTCTTGATTCATCCATGCTTTCTTTTGGTTGAAATAATCAACCGGGAAATAACGCATTTCGGTTCCCTTAAACGATCTAGGCTTTTTGGATTTGCCAATGCAGACCAGCTTCAGCTTATGAGATCCACTTGCGTTCGCACATGCTAGCACAGTTATCCGCTCTTTGCTTGATTTATGTCCCGGTGCAGATTTTTCGTTTTGTGAAACGAGAGTTTTGGATGGTAAAGCTTTCCAAAACAAGCCGGTTTCGTCGGCATTATAAATCTGTTCGGGCGACAGATTGTGAGTCGTAACAAGCCGATTGAATTCTGTCATATACAAAGCAGCGGCGTCTTTATCGCCACTGAGTTTCTCTCCTTGAATGTCTAATTGTCGAATCCCGTGCCGCGATTTGAACCGCTGCAACCATCCTTGTGATGCTGAAAATGGTTCACGGATGTTCATTTGTTTGTGAAACCACGCGGATTTCTCCAGTAGCAATGGCCCTGACACTGGATGTCCTTCTGCACGTTTTTGTTGGAACCAATTGAACAATGCGGTGTCCAGTTCATCAAATTTAGAGCCTTTTGTTGATTTACGCTGTGATGTACCGTTGAAGGTGTCAGATGATGTAACAAACTTATACAGTTCGTCCTTTCGATGGATCATGTCACGCACTGTTTGTACACCGACGTTAA